TTATATGATCATTATAGTTATGAAAAAATAAGAGAATAAATTAAAAACAGGTATGAAATACTATATGACATTAAAAAAAGAATAACGTTTAAAAGGGTGATTTGTAAAATATCCATAAAGAAAAAGTAAATCTGTTTACAGTTCTGTTTCATATAGGTGTTGAGAGATGTATCCATAGATCTCTTCATGTTGCTCTCAAAGTGCACCAGATTGATGCTTTCAACTTCAATATTTAAAAATAAATCTTCCCGGGGGAGCTTGCCCCCAGACCCCCCTATGTGAGGTCCACACACCACCTATAAAAATAGCACTTTACCCCTGCTTACACCTATATGCCGTGAGCTGATTATCGAGCCTTCATTGTAACAGTCGCGGGTACGTTGTGTACAGTATATGTGTGGGGATTGTTGCAGTAGAAAATTCCACTGTAGCGCCCGGTACATTAATGGGAAACCCTAAATGTTTGAGCACCCTCTATGAAACGTCAAGCTACCCCACAGCACCCCCAAAATAAATCTCTGGCGCCACCACTGAGCCTGACTATTTGTGTTGGGGGGGCCCGACTTCTTTTTTTCTCCAAAGGGGGGGCCTGACAGAAAAAGTTTGAGAACCACTGACTTAGAGGATGATGGTGCTTCAGGGCTGGCTACTCCGATGACAGGGCCCCATCGTCCTGCTGGACATCCTTATTGCCCTGAAAGGAAGGATAAAATAAGCAAGCCTTCCTTGATGCCCAGAGAGAAATCCAGGAGTAGCAGGAAATAATATACTCTATAAAGAGAGGTTAAAATAAAAACTATACGAGAGCAATTTATAAGACAATGAAAATAGTTTGAAAATAAATGTTTTCTTAATATATCTTATGTGGTTGTATCACCTGCTCGACAACATCCAGCCCTCCAGCATCCTCCAGCCTGTCCGTGTTTCTGCTGCCTCTGTGTGGCTGAGATGGGCCTGTGTCCTCTGGGTCTAAGCCCCAGGACTTCAGCCGGCTCAGACCCTCCACAGAGCGGCCGGTGGGGTTGATCCGCTGGGCCGGGATACGGACCGGTAATTCCCAGGTCCCCTTAAAGTCTGGCCATGCACTGCCACACTATATCCACACACACACACACACACACACACACACACACACACACACACACACACACAG